GGATACACTAAATCCAACCGTGTCAAACTCACTTTCTCTCAGAGATTGCGGCTGATCTGACACCTTGCACTGGATACTTAAGTGTTCAGCAACTCAAGTGCAGTGGTAACTTTAATGTATTTGAGTGAATACCACTTCTGAGACTGCTCTTCTCTTTCTCCTACCTTCCACTGGGCTGTTGCTGTTTAGAACAACTAAAATGGTTCTAATTTTAGAATATCATTTGTTATCAAGGTAGCTTCATAAGCTTCCTTGGAAGGAACAGTGTGGTATAAATACTTGCAATAAAATAATTGTGTGTAGTTGAAATATTGAAGCAGCATCCATTATCTCCAACTGCTGGCTTAATCAATATTTTTAAATCTGGAATAGCTTGTCAGTTCTCACCACATCACTAAGATATTGGAATCTTTACAACAACTGTTTGAAACAACTGCTTTAAACATACACAATGGATTTTCAGCAACAAAACCCAATTTCTGTACAAGACTGGTAACCAAGAAGTACATATGTTTTTCTGAGTGGTACAAATATTGCATGATGGGATAAAATGTTGAAGAAAAGTTGAATTATGTGAATACAACAGTTATATAGAAGCAATATCATGCCTGAAACTTAAAAAAAAATCATGGTATAAGATACTGGTGTTTATGCTCGTTCCTAGTTATTAGCTAAAAACAGCTATTACCCACAAACATTGATTTCTTTGTTCCTTTTCCTAGTGAATGACACATTCCTTAGTAGCATGTCTGAGCAGACATGCCTAGATTCCATCCTAAGAATGCCATTTACTAACCTTCGCAGATATGTACCCAAATTCCAAAGGTTGTAGAAATGTAAACTTCAATACAAACCAGAACTTGTTTTAAATTAATTATATTTATATCCTGCTCTTTCTCCAGGAGCAACACACCTTCGTTCCCCAGCAATCACTTTATCCTCGCAATAAGTATGCTTATCTGACTCAATGTTGTCTCTCTTCTGTGGGCACAAACAAAGATTTACACCATTCTTCTGGAACTGCTAAAATCCCTGCTTGCTGAATGATAAAACATGGGTATTTTTATCTGAGAAATATTTTGCCACAGTCCTTGAAGGGAATTTCTACATAAGTCACTGAAATGAACAGGGATTATGCCTTAGTTTAGCACTGCTCTTGGATAACTCCCCTGCATTTCAGCTGAGACTGAAGGATGCTCTTGACAGACTAAATTCTTTATGAACGGTGGCTAGGTACATCGGATGAAACACACTTTGGAAAATGATGTACATTAAAACAAAAATACCTGAAACCATCCCTAAAACACAACACCAGACAAATAGTACTCCCCTTTCACTACCAGGGGAAATGATGTTGTTAGGTAACTCCCTTTACTAGCGATGTGCATTGAAATAAAAAAGGTTCCATTAAGAAGGGGACTTTCATTACAGCAACTAAGAAACCAATTTTACTTAGGCCCTTAAAACCCATTTTGCATCTTTTCCACAGTTCTTCGTTCATACAGCAAGTCTCCAGATCTGCCTTGCCTTTCTCTGTTCGAGGACGTCGTTGAACTCACAGTTGTGTACACTTTTATTTTCAGAAGTCTAATCACATTAAGTTCAGTCACTGCCAAAGAACAGAACACAGCTCCTGGAACCAAGGTTATAACATTTCTGCTGACTATATGTTGGAGAGAATTAAGTCTTGAAGGGCTCCCTAAGCCTTCCTGCTGTGAATCTAAAACCTCCCAAAACAATACTCCTGTCTCAGCAAAAACTGATTTGGGAGAATTGGCACAGTCGCCATGCCAGATTTATCTTCAGCCTGTAGTTGTTCCATATGTTGAAAGTAGTCATGAACATATGCATACCTTTCCAGAGATGACATTTGAAAGAGAAACTTCGGGCAAGTATTAGGTATTGAACTAGCTGTGATTCAGAGTGTCACTTAATTATGTTGACCTGTATATTTTTTAAGGCTGTGACCTTCTGCACATTTTACAGGGGCAAAAGCTCCCACTGGACCAAGCAGGGCTAAGTTCCAAGTAAATATGCATTGGCTTAGGAACAGAGTAAGTCACCTTGTAGGGAGGGCGATGACATCAGCTGCTCTAGGTCAGCGCTGACACTCTTCAGGATTCAGAGAAGGGGCACCGAGAAATGCAAGGCATGGCTGCTACTACCGAGCTATTGTCCCTTTCCCAAATTCTAAAGACTTGGGGGACGATTGTTAAAAGTGTTTTTATATTTGGGTGTGTAAACTGCCAGGGGAGCTATGCCCTAACCACCAACCTAAACACCTTTGTAAGAAAACAGAGAGATCTAGGCAACCTTCTCTCCTACTGGCAGGACTTGCCCACGATGGGAACCCACAGCCTCTTGCAACTCAAACAAAAATTATTTCTGTAGACCAGGTGTGCACACATCTGACACCCGACAACAGGCTTCAACTGTGTCCCTGTATGGAGTTAGTCTCGTCTCTACCCCTTCCCCAGCAACCCTTGTCCAGAGCGTTGCTTCCCTACTGCTTTTAGCCGTGAAGAGCTATCTGAACCAGAAACGTGCGCGAGAAAGACGCCTAACCAATATCACCGGCAGATATCAGAGTCAAAAAGGGCGTGTCGCCCTTCCTAGAACAAAGATTAAGAGAAAGTCACCTTACAGAGCTAGCCCGGTTCTATCAACCCTAACTGGCAGCAGTTCTGTGGGACCTCAGCCTGTCTTTTTTCTAAAGGCCAGTGGTGACAGGTGTTTCAGTCTTTAGTTGCACGATTTTGTGAACCATATCATTACTCCTAGGCAACAGAGAAGAACTATTACATTTTGCTACAGGCAGCAGTGATGGCCACCAATTCGGAGGACTTCTAAAGAGGACTGAGCAAATTCATGAAGGTCCATCAGGGGCTGCTAGCCCCGATTGCTGCATATTGCTTCCAGCATGAGGCCGACACCAGCTGCTGGGGAACATGGATGGGAAAGAAGAGTTGTACTCCTACCCTGCTTGAGCGATTCAGCGGACAGCTGGTTTGCCACTGCAGAAACAAAAGCTGGACTAGATAGACCATTGCACTGACCCAGTGGGTTGGGTAATGCTCTTATCACTAAATGTTAAGACCCCATGTGGCATAGTGGTTAGAGTGCTGGACCAAGACTCAGGAAACATGGGCTCCCTCAGCACTGAGTCATAAAGTTCATTGGGTGACTCTGGGACATTCACAGTTTATCCCAACTCACAAGATTATTGTGAGGATAAAATGGAGAGGATGAGGATTATGTGAACCACCTTGGGTTCCTCATAGAGATAAAGTTGGTATGTAAATATAATACAGCCCTACCCTCGTAATAATACACAAGATGGTATGGATGTGCAGGATTTGAACAGGGGTTTCCCAGAAACTAATTCAAGAATAGTTTTGCCAGGCAGGAATTGCTATTTGAATAATCTTTAAATAAGAAGGCAGGGCATTGTTGGGTTATTTTCGTCTGCTTACAAAAGCGGCCAAGATCCAGGTTGACCTCACTACAACATTACCTGAAAGGAATCAGATGGCAGATTTCAGATTTTCCTGCCCCCACTGGTTCATGTCACAACAAGATTCAGGGAGTCATTCTGCCTTTTTGCTGAAGGTGCAGAAAATGTCTAAGGCAACCACTGATAGCAACTATAGCTGAACTTGTGATGAACTTTATCTGACAATACATCAGCTGAAACAGCTGCCTCCAAACTGTATTCAACACACAGTATAGTCAAAGGAGGCTTACAACCAGCAGATGCAAAACTGACTTCAAAAAAGTGTTGACAAGCAAGACCTGACAGCCAGTGCCATGAGGATAAACTAACAGATTGGAGAAATCAGTGAAATATTAGCAAATGCTATGAATTAAACCTATTGGGGACTATGACGCCCATCCTTATCTAACCTTAAAATGTCAAATTATTATGCCTCTTCCAACACATGCACATGCACATGCACACACACACACACACACACACACACTGCAACAAACTGTTGCAACATATCCCTATGCCCATCAATACCCTCGCTCCTATTTCAGCCAGCCAGGGCTCCTCCTGATTTTCCCTATTTCCTTTTAACTGCTACTCCACATTATGGGGCTCCACTTGACAATGAAAAACAGATACCTCCAAATGGATTTCTCCCAAGGAAGTTCCAGAATCGAAGTGCAGCCACAAAGAAGGGTCTTGCACATGTCCCCACCAATCCTGCTTCAGCACCTGACAGATCTTTCAGAACTTAGGCCACCAGAACAGAATAGGAACATATAATCCTTTAGGTGGCCTTGATCTAAACCATTTAGGCATTTAAAAGTGATCATCCATCCAACAATAATGAGACTTATTTAAGGGGTGTCTGTTGCAAAATGAAACAAAGCCTGTTTAAAATGCAGAGTTTATTTTCTTTATGTGATTGCACATTTCCACCCACATTTAAGCAGAATTCAGGATCTGTAAGGCCAGTGAAGACAAATGTTTCACTTAAAGCTTTTGAAACATAGTTTAATTGCCTTAAGTACAAAACTGTTAACAATGTTGCACAACTTCCACTAAACAGTTCAACAAGATTCAGCAAAAGCAAGTTCAAAACCCTGAATATACAGTCAAACATCACACACTGAGGGCAAACACAAATATGTACTTAAAAGCATGGAGTTCACCGTAACATAGAACAAATATCTTGCTTCAATTTATCATTTCCCAAAGGATAGCTGCTCTTAAGCAACAGCAGCAGCATAAAATGCAGGCAGAGGTCTACAAACCACTGACATTGGAGCAGAGATGGCACAATAGCCTATTCTGCTGAAATATTCTGGAATGCTGGTGGGGTAGCAGGCACAGGAGACCCAGCCAGAGTGTTTTTTCAAAATCTGACTTCGCCAGACAAGCAAACTAAATGCTGCTTTTGCACAGGGTCTTCTTTGCATAGGTGGCGGGGCAGAACCTTGGTCTACCATCTTATTCATAGGCTGTAGCTCAGTGAAAGGCTGCGCACACTAACCTTAAACCTTCTGCATGCAGTCGGAGGCATCTGCAGGTAAGATCAGGCAGGAAATTATATCAGTTTGGAAATCCTGTTCACCTGCTGCCAGACAATTACTAACCTAGGCAGATGAATATTCAGCAGGAAGCAGTTTCCTAAGTTTGTATTATGTTGTCTTAAACTATAATGTTCCACAATATGGAATTCTCCCCTAAAACATGGGAGACTGGCAACAAGTGACTATATAGGCAAATCTCCGCTCTGCATTCCTGTGATCGGACATTTCCTTGTGCCTTCACATGTAAGAGCTCAGATTCACAAATGGCTGACATGGAGTATGGATTTATGGCTTAGTTTGCTTTCCCATTCACTAAGCAGGCTCTTAAGCAAGACAACAAGGCTCAGCAGGTTTTGCAGCAATCAGAGAGAACACCTGCTCCAACAGCTGGCTCTGGACCAACTGGGCAGGTATTTCCAGTATTGGAAATCTTACCTGCATTGACAGCACTTTTGGATTTTCTGAGTTGAAGGTTCACAGGAGAATTGCTCCACTATTAAGGCGCAACAATGGGAAATGAAGGGACACAGGATTTGGAAGGCTGCAGAAGCTGAACTGCATCAGGGGAAAAAGAAGCTGATATCATCAGTGCAGTCACACACAAGTGCCAAAAGCCACCTTGAATGCTATTTTTGATAGAAGGGCAGGGTATAAATCAAATAAAATTAGCATACAGTGTTTATTCAGTGCGGAGTAGGCAAAGGATAATTAAAACTAGCAAGTATTAAATCTTATTTCAGAAACTTGCTTGCCTAAGTCAGTATATATTGCATAATGTTTAATTATTGCTTTGCTTTTGAGAGCTGCCTTTAAAAAACTGTAAAATAAACCAATCATTGACCTACAGCTGTTCCCAGGCAAAGCCTTTCCATCCCCAGACTTCTTGGACACAGCACAAGAATTACTGTGAAGTCCAGCATATGTGGCAGGCATCACACTGGGGACAGCTATTTCAAGGTTGTTTTGAATGTTTTGCATTGCTTCTATTTGATTACAGGTTTTATGTTTTAAAGCATAAGTAAAACTGCCTTGCTTGGTCCCAGAAAGGTAATGAATAGATATGTAAGTAACCATTAAATCACACTGGCTGCCTCATTCAGAACACAGGACAGAGTGAGCAGAAGGTGGGAATCCAAAACTTTGGACTTCCATCTCCAGAAGTCCCTACCAGCATGGCCAATGGTCAGGAATACTAGAAGCTGAGGCCCCAAACTTCTGGAGGTTGCTTCCTATCTATTCCTGCTCTAATGCAATACAATAAACAAATGAATAAATAAGCAGAGCCACAAGAAGCAAGGGGAAAAGCCTAGCGCTCTTCCTTATAAAATAGTAAAACAATTAGCACCCTATGTGCAGAAAGAGTGCCTACCAGATGGAAACACTTAACATACCATCTCATGCAAGTTTAGGCAGGAAAAAAAAAAGTCCTACAATTCCCAGCACACCCCAGGCCAGCCACACTGGTTAGGGCATACTACGAATTGTTCAAGAAGGAAAAGGGAAAGGGAAACACAACAAAACCAAGAGTCCTATTTCTCAGCATGCCCCAACCCTGGCCTGGTGAATGCCGAGAACTACAGGGCTTCTTTTCTGGCCACAAGTATACAAGGACTTCAACGCTCGAAAGTCTTCCCATTGATCTACTCCCATAGATAGTTTCCGATTTATTATTCACCCAGTCTTCCATTACATAAAATCAGCCCCTGCCTAAAGCAGTGGAATCCTAGCATAAGTTACCTACATCAGGAATTGTTCTATTTATTGGATTCATATCCCACCTTTGTCTCTTAGAAATAAGTCAGGGTGGCTTCCATCATTCTCTCCCTGCTGCCTTCCAACAGCAGCCCTGCAAGGCAGGTTGGGCTGAGAGTCTGCAAGTGGCCCGAAGTCACCCAGTGGGCTCCATGGCCGAGCGAGGACGAGAACCAAGATCGCCCGAGTCCCAGTCCACGCCCTTAACCACCACACCTCGCTGGCTCCCCGAATTAGGCCCGGAGCCCTCCCTCCAGGCCCCCACCCACCAGGCTCAGCACCAGCCGGACTCGGCACCGAGAAAGGCGCACGGCGGGGCCGAGCAAGCCCGCTCCCTCGCCGCGCCTCGGCCCGCCGCCCGGGCCCGCGCCCTGACAGGCCCCCCGGCGGCTCCCCGCACTCACCCCCGAGAGGCCAAGCGGGACCCGTCACGCTCCTCCGACGCCGCTTCCGGGAACGCCGCGCACCTCTCAGCAACAGCCCCCCTTATTGGCCCGCGGAAGCCGGCCGCGCCATTGGCCGCATTAAATCGCCTCTTGTCCCCGCCCCGTCTCCTCTGCGCGCTTCGCGATTGGCTCTCCCTCCCGGTCACTCAAGCTTTTCCAGAAGGGCGATCCAATCCGGAGGCTGGGCTCTTCTCCTTGTTATTCCTCCTGCCGCCAGCTGTAGCTAATCTCCCTCCCGCTTCCACTGCGCGCCCCGCCCTCCTTCGCCTGTCAAAGGAACCTCCTGAGTTTGATTTTTGCTCTCCAGTGTTGCCTAATTGATCGTCTTCCTCCCTTTTTTTTCTCACTCTCAGCGCCAAGAATTAAAAAAAAAAACAGTTGAAGTAAAAGCTGCACAGCTGCAGTTGGTAATGCTCTTGTTAATTTGTTACATGCAATCATTCATTCAGTCTCGCAGGCGATCTGGAGGAAAACGGTTGTGCCAAGACTGGGGCGAGACGAGTAAACCTTACTTCCATGGAGCCACAGTTGAATGCGTGCACATTTTGAGTGGGCTTTGCCCGCCACAGTGAAAATTCACGCGAGTGCACACTTTCCTACTTACTTCTAAGTAGGCAATGCATGGAATTGGGCAGTGAACAAAATTAGCCAGCGTTCCCCACTAGCAAGGGCCACCATGCGGTTAGAAGCAATACTTAACTTCCGTAGTGGCACCATTGAACTCTAGGACGCTAATGTCTGTGTAAGGTAAACGTGCCTAGGATCAGGGTGAATGTGGTTTAACAGTATTAGCGATTTCTCCTCGATCTCTGATTTTACTTTTGCTCATATTACTCCATTGCACTATTTACCAATAGCTGCTATTGCAAGTTGAATAGTATATAGAATGGTTTGTTCTTTGGTCTGTTAAATGGCAAAGAGTTTAAGAGTTTGTCACGAGAAAATGCCAGTACTTGTTTTTAACGATAGACCGTTCGAGCAACAGATTTCCACGAAGACTGGTAGGAAAATATGACGCATGTAAGTTTGTGCAGAGTGTATTCCCCACAAGTTTTTTTTATTTGGTCCCTGAGTGAGTATTTGGAGGCTAAGAGGCAGGGCTAGGCAAGGCATCTACACTGTTTTCAGTATTTCTCACACAGAAATATTGACACAGTCACAACTCCGAGGCTTAATTTCTAGAGACCCTGAGGAAGGAAATGTATTTTCAAGATTCAGTTGAAATCTAGTTTCTCAGACTAAGAAATCATTAAGAAAATACAAGCAGAACTGCAACAAAAAGTTGCAATGCGAAGTACTTCTGTTAATTTTTCTAGCCAGCCATGCCCTACTCCTCGGTATTCCAGTCCATAGCCCATCTCAGCTATTATTCTGGTGTGTATTTTCCCCTCCTGTCACAGGTCTCATTGGGGTATTCTGGAGACTTGCTTTCTTGCCTTAGTGATTTTCCTTCCCCATTAATATGGTTTGTATATCTGCAAACTTTGGGGTTCTTCTTAGTCTGCTGATGTCTCTCTCTCTCTCTGGACATTCACAGCTGTACATCAGAAAAAGCGGGAATGATCTAAACTGTAAAAACAGGCGGGGGGGGATCAAAGAGATGTATGAGAATATAAGACTGTTCCTGGTGAATGCAGAGTACAGGAGTCCACAATTTTTAAAACACAGAAACTAATCACCCACTGTTGGTTCCTCCACCCCCAGTTAACTGACAGTTTGAGATCAAACTAGTCCATGCAGATATTATGCAGACTGGGGGAAGCTCAAACCTGCTAGAGCTCTCCTTTGCATAATTTATTATTTATTTATTTTAAACATTTTTATGCCGCCCCCATCACAACAAAGCCTTGGGGCAGCTTACAATGCCATCCTTAGTATGGAACAATTTAACAGCTCCTGAGTTTAAGGCTGCTTTGTTCTGTAACTGGAAAAATGATACTATCATTATGACCCCTTTCTCTCTCTCTTACATAAGCATAGAAATAGTAGCACAGCAACCTAAATAAACATAGGCAGAATTTGGGTGGGAAATGAGATTCTGAGATGCAAGGACTCCAAACCAACTGAGCTGCAATGCTTAATAATGTGCTTCAATTGATTATCTAATATACGTGCAGTAGTCTGAAGCAAGACGTCTCATCTCCTCTTAGGAGTAGCTCTGAACCCTGCAGCACGGAGACCATCAGATGATGTTAAGCAGAAGCGATTCACATTGTGAAGCAGTGCATTAGAAAAATGCTTAGAATGGTTGATTAAAGTACAGTGAAACATGTCATAAGCTATCATTCAAGAACCCAACAAAACAAATCCTGTACTTTAGGTGGGTTTAGATTAAAGGTGGTTCTGAGGCAGCTTAAGGTAATCTCAGAGTATTAGAATTTGTTTCCAAGAGCAGCCTCTACTGCCATTATCTGTGACTAATGGGAACAATTTCCATAGAAATCCAGTATTCGGTCACAGTTGTATTTTTAAAACTCAGGGTCTGCTTCTTCAATATGAAAAATATTTGGGCCCCTAAATGAAATTGATTACAGTCTAATACAATGTATGCTTTGGCAGAATGAAGTCTTGTTGGTTATTTATTAAAATGTTTTAATAAATAAATAAATAAAAATAAACACCCTACATGGATATACATGATCAAGATGATGTCCTGTTTATGAATTTAGACTTTAAAAAATTCATTTGTCAGAAAGACTCCCAGAATGACTTGCAAAGGTCAATAGGAAGAAAATCCCAAGTCATGACCCAAGGAAAAATTCTTGGGAAGAGGGAGGGAAAAAGCAAGCTCAGGCACTAGTTCTTCAGGACAGAGTTCAGCAGGTAGCAATTCAACAGGTCACAGAGCTGGAACTAAACAGAAGGAAAGACTTGCTCCTTCCTCTTTCCCCCTCATGACCTCACCAGTGGGGTGACTGGGGCAATTTGCAGCTACAAAGCCGAAGAGAGGAGGATGCCCTAGCTTAACTGTTAGGACCAACCTCTGACCAATCTTTCATAAGAATAGACTGCCAAATGATTAGAATTCACAGCCAGTCCTTCCTTCCTGAAATGGTAATGTTAATGATGAGTAAGCCATAAGGGAGAAGTAATTAGAAAAGAACAATCAAGACTTCTGTGAAGGTGCTTTGAGACACATTAGGAACGCTTGAGGGATTCCACCTCGGTGAACTCCGCTGCGATGGGCATCTCCTTGTTGACATGGACTTATCCTTTGGATTTCTCCAACTTTCCTGATGCAGACCTGGACTCATTTATATGCCTAGATGCACATTGAGAAACAGTTATTAGCAATGAAAAAGAAATGCATCTCATCATTGTAGAGAAGCCTGTAACCGGTTGATTTGTACAGTCAACTGTCCAAGTGCTCACTGTGGATTGATTAGGGTTCTTTCTCATTAATCTGGGTGTCTGTTGAACAGCTCTGCACAGAAAGAACACCCTCAAAAGGAGGGAGAGGAAACGGGAAAGAAAACAACAACTTTTCAATGGAAAGCTTTTTACTGATTACTAATACTTTTTACTAATACTTTTTACTGATTACTAATATTAGGTGCTGGCACTATGTGAAATATGAGTCCCATCAGGGCTCACACCAAAGGTAGGCATGGATGGGCAGCAGCCAGGGTCCACACCCAAGTGGGGGCCCATGGAGCAGAGCCCCCTGGAGTAGCCCTGTGGCTTCACCATCACAGCTCTGGCCCAGGCTGAGAAAAGGGGGCATCAGGGCCCCTGTGGACAAGCTCTCTGGCTGTCAAACAAGTGGTAGAAATGCTGAGAACGTGCCTGAGGATGATGGGGTGATAAAGCTGACTCACTGTGCAAGGGTCCCTTTAAGGGTAGCTTGTCAGGGAGTCTGAAAAACCTGCAGCCCACAGTGAGCTGAGTGCTCTTATAGGGTTCACCTGGCCCTACTTACCAGGAGTGTTCCTATTGGCCAGAGCCTTTTACCAATCATTTGCTGTAACTATTTTGTCCCCATTTCCTGTAGGGAGGCCTTATGTAAACTTCACTTGCAGCAAAGAGTTCTTAGTCTGTTGGATTCAGTCTCTGCCTTCCCGATGCTTTTCTCTCTGTGTGAGAACAAAGGATGCCTCTTGATATATGTTTGTCAAACTTGGGCTGGGCCCTTCCACATTTCCAGAACGTACAGAACACAACAGCTTTATGAGACTTTGGCCCATGTTAATTTACATCTATGAAGCACAAGTAGAAGATATTGCTATAACTGCGTAAGAGAAGGGTGTACCTCATGGTGGCCGCGTGAAAATGTACCTGCACAGTCTTGGTGATAACCCTGCAAAGGTAAGGTCAATGGTTATGTATTTCTTCTTAAGGTTCTTCATTTCTAAACCATTCTTGGGCTAGATGGCTTTTTAGATAGAGCAGCCTTCCCTAATGTGAGGCTGTCCAGAGCTTTTGGAGTGCAATCTCTCCCAGGCACCAATGGACTAGCAAGGACTGTGGTCAGGAGTGATTGGAGTGGTAGGCCGAAATGTCTGCAGAGCAACCCTCAGGGGAGGGTAAGGATAAGGGACAAACGTAACCTTTACAAGCCTTCTGCTGTTAGAGTCATGTAGAAATGTAATGCATGCAGTGGAGGAAGGGATGTATTTAAATACAGGACTAGAGTG